CGTCCGCCCCCGCGGCCGCAGGGAAGCCGGCCCCGGCGCTCTGCTCTGCGCTTACGGCAACGTTCAGACTGGGAACTGCACCTCTGGCAGCCACATTTCCAGTAACCCTTGTGGCAAATAGGGATGGCAGGGATATCCAGGTGGAAGAACAGTCCTCTAAAAGGTTGCGGCTGCTTATTGTCCAGCATTTGTTCTAGAAGATACTTCCTGTGGATTCTGTAAATAGATACAATAAAAGTGAGTCTTCGTGCCTACAGGCTTTCCCTGCTGCCTCTGTGCTTGTGGGGGAGCCTGTCGGTGTTCAGGGCTGCAGAACTGCCCGTAAACGTCTGTAATGAACTGAGGGTGGATGAACTGAGCGTGCAGGGTGAAGGCCCGTGATCGTGGAGGGGCCGTTCACTGCTGTGGTTTTGTTTCAAATATTTTCCAGCACCAATTACGATATTTATCATCATCATCATCTCTCCTACTAAATATGCTCAGCTGGCACTCTGTATATATGTTGGATTTGCATTGTTAATGTTAGTCTGATGTTATGAATCAAGCAATGAGTTTTATCGAATTTTATTAATTCAAAATATTGCACAGCTATACTTTTGTAGAGAAGACTTTGTCATTCCAGATAAGTCTTTTTAAAAATAAAAGAATCGTTCCGCTGTTAACTCATTTCAAAAGTCAATTATCACTTCAATCCCGGAAAACCTATGCCCTGTCCCCTATGCCAATTTTAATATATTGAAAGTGGGATTTTTTTTTCCATAAAAATATGCAGAATGTATTTTTATATATACTTGCCTCTGTAATATGCCTGAGTGCATTTTGTTCCTTTCCTCTCTGATACCAATAAAGTCTGTGACATTATGACTAAAGCCTGGTTCTGTGGAGGCAGCCCCGCTTCTGCCTTGTCCCACTGCACCTGCAAGAACATTAGAGCACAATAAAAAGGCCCGTGAAACGGTGACATTTGGAATCAAGCATCTGGTCATACGAGGTGTTAAATTGCACTTTTGGCACATACCTCAGATATTTACTGCGTACTTTGACCTGTACTATGGGGGACAAAGTTTAGGTTTATAGTTTAACAAGGCTCTTCATGGGGGACTTTTGATACTAGGAGCAACAGTAGAACTCTGCTTCCCAAGCCAAGGCTGCTGCGCAGGCCTCGCTCCAAAACACAACCAAGGTTCCGTAGCTCTTCCAAAAGCGCTGGGATGAGGAATGTGGAGCGGGAGCGGAGCGGGAGCGCGGCCGCCTCTTCCATGTGGGGGTGACGGAGGTGGAGCTGCTGTCGCCCTTCTCTCAGCGAGTGCTGAGGCTCCCGGGCCAGGCGTGAAAGCCTTGGCAATGCGGGAAAGCAACCCTAACTGCACCGAAAAGACCATGTCTACAACACTTAAAATACTCCTTGGGAAACCCTGTGCAAGGTTGAGAGGCATAGCTAAAAGCTTTAGTTTTAACAGTAAGTACTATAATTTGAAGCCATGTTCCTGTGCAAGGTTGAGAGGTATAGCTAAAAGCTTTGGTTTTAGCAGTAAGTACTATAATTTGAAGCCATGTCAATGATACTAGTGACACCTCTGTCAGCCTCCTAAGCCACCCTAAACCATGAGGTTAGGGGCGCACTCCCTCCACGAAATGTGTGATCCTGCCCTAATGGGGCAGTCGGAGAGCGAGTTGTTTCTGTGTATGTGATGCTGAAAATCATCTCCAACATACGCAACTCCCAGCTGCTATCCACTGTCCTGGCTTACAGTGCTCCAAGTAAAACACACGAGTGAAATGGAAAGACAAAAGCCAACTCGGGAAACAGCAAGAGAAGTACTGATGCAGTAATTTTGAAAAAAAAAACTCAGTTATTAGCTGGGCTCTCTGCTTTATCAGGTGGTTTTGTTTTGTTTCCAGAAAAGGGCAAGATGATGGGTGACTCAAAGAAAGTAAGAGATTGTTTCAGGTCTCATGATGCAAAACAAAACTCATCAACTATCCACAAGTACAGCAAAAGATTTCTTTCTCAGATTAAAAACCCAAATGTGGCTTTTATCTGGAAATTTATTACTAGCATCTAAAAAGCTACATCGACCATTAACATGAAAAACCTACCGATTCTGCTGGGTTGTTCACGTTGGTACATGGAGAAAAATAATGGACAAGTTGAGCAGCTCCAAGTGCAGTTAAATATATCTGCTATGAACTGACACTGGGCATGATCCAAATGCTCATGGCGAGTCACAGCACAGAGTTTAAAAGAGCTAAAAAGAAAAATCCCTTCCTCTATAGGCAGTTTCTTCAGCTGCTAAGAGTGGTGTAGGATCCAAGTAGGCAGGATCTAAGTGACCATGAATAAAAAGCAAAATCCTGTTAGAGCTCTGAGATGAGGGAAGGAACATGGACGCTGCAAGAGATGGGAGGAGGTAGAGAGGACACATTCAGCGGTCGTAGTACTGGTTTAGGAGAGCAGGCTACTAAATCAGAAAAGATGCTGGCCGATCCTTAGGAATGTTTTTGGTTTTGTTCTTCCTACACCCCAATTTATATCTCCTCACTCAGATATCCCAATCCAGAGCCAGTCCTAAGCGGCTGCAAGCCCCATTTTACCACAGGGTTCTCCGCACCTTCTCCCCTTCTAGGTGAAAGCTGCCCCTGCATAGGCAGCCTTTGCGGTGTCCGCGGTGCCTCGAGGTGCCTCGCGTGAGGCAGCGGTGTCGCTGCGCTGCCGCGCCCGGCGCAGCAGGAACCCTCCCTGCGCTGCCCCTCGCCGTGCAACGGCCCCGGCCGGCCGGAGCCGGG